AGTTTTCTTTCCCTAAATCTCATAAGCAGAAAGGACAATCTCAGATATGTATGAATTTGGTAGTTTTTATAATCATAAGCTTGGCGTAGACAAACATATCCTGAGCAAAATATGCCTACTATGAAGATCACCGGTAAATTGTATTATATTAAAATTGAGCGATTCTTTTCATCAACTACATTCTCACAACACAATACATTCAACAAAGAACTTGTATCCAGAATAAATATATTTTTCAAAACCAACAAGTTAATAAAGACAGTCCACCCAATAGAAAAATGGGGAAGAAGTTGAACAGATATTTCACAAGAGGACACTTAAAGACCAATAAGCATATATGAAAAGTACCCAATCTTGTTAATAATCAGTGTAATGAAACTAAAGCCACACTGAAATACTGCTACATGCCTGATAGGAAAAAATGGAAAAGACACCATTCAGTGTAGGCAGAAATACAGGACAATTGGAACTTGGGAAACTGGCTAGAAGCATCCATCAAAGCTGAAACATTGTATGTCTTGTGACCTTGCAGTTCACCCTTAGGCAGACATGCGTACAGAATTCATGTGCAAGAATATTTGAAGCAATACCACTAATAATTGTTCACAAACTGGGAATGAACCAAACATCCATCAGATAAGTAATGTGATTTATTCATGCGGTGGAGTATTATACAGTCATGAGAATGAACCATGAACCATACATGCATTAAAAAAATCTCACAATGTTAATAAGCCAAATACAAAATAGTTTGATTTAATTTGTGTAATTTCCCAAACCAGACAAAACTCATCTGTGCTCTTAGAAAGGAAGAGAGTGGTTCCCTTGGGGAGGTAGGAACTAGAGGAGCAGGAGGGGCTTCCCAGGTACGGGCAACATTGTTTGTTGATCTGGTTACAGGCAGTATTCATGTTTCATTGTGAAAAATCAGTTACACTTCAACAAAGTTAGAACAAAATGATCTGCATCGGCTGGCCTGCACAAGCAGCTGAGTGAAGAAATGATTCCTTCTCTTGGCCTCTCCCCTTGGCTACACTCTCACCTCCTGCCAGTCCCTATGGTGAGGGTGGAAGAGAAGCACCCCCTCACTGGCTAGCATACTGACTAACCTAGATAAGCAATGGGCTGAGGTCTACCAAACTTGAATCTGCCTTCCTGCCTGTTGATCATTCGCTTTCTCCCCTCGTCTCCTAGTGCCTAAATGTCCCCGCTCTCTGCCCCAAAGCCTCACTCGGTAGCAAATGTTCCTCTCAGGGAACACTTAAATAAGTTTATAAGTTTTGAACAAAAGGGATGGAGTGTCCCAATAGTTGCAGGATGGATGGGCAAGGAGTCATTTGAGCCTTTTTAACAGCCCTGGAGGAATAGAACATGCAATGGAACCGCAGGCCTGATTGGGTTTTGTGGGATGTTCAAATCTTGGCTCTGCTTTGGGCAAGTTTGTATCCCCTCTGTGCCTGTTTCCTCATAAAAATCAACTTCGCCCTATCCTTACGAGTTCCATACAAGTTAGAAAAGTAACTGACATAAGATAGGTGCTTCATGTTAGCTGACTTTACCCAAGGTTTGCTATCCCCAAGGAAGCAGGGCCTGGGAGCTCAGGGACCAGAGGGCTTCGGGTCTGACCGTAAGTCTCCTGAAGTGCAGTGAGGAGCAGAGGAACTGAGGACACAAGGTGGAGGAGGTGGGCGTCTCCAGCCGCATATATATCTATAAATACCTCTATCGTTAAATAAATAAGTGTAGCACCCATTGCATCTGTTATCTTCAAATAATCAGGAATGTTGCTATCTGAGGGTGGAAAATGAAGACAATTCTTATGAGGTGTGTTGTATTTTATAGAACAGCAATTAGGGAGGTGAGGACATCGTATACCCATGCCTACTACTAACCAAAGGGCCATAAACGCCACGGGCATTTTCATACTTTATTTATACAGCCCTGGCCCTGGCCCTGGCCCTGGCCCTGGCTTTAAAAAAAAAAAAACAAAAAAAAACCCCAGAAGGGGAGCAGTGACTGGTTCATGATACATCAAAGCCTGAGGTAGACAACAAAAAGTCCTTTTATCAATAGTGAAAAATAATGTTCTAGCGATATTCACGAGAATATTCACACTGGCATTTTCTCACACCTATGCAAGCCCAATCTTCGTTAGAAGAGTTCTTGAAGATATATCAAAATAACATAATGGCGATACGCTATGAAGCCGAAGAATAAATTCCCAAAAGAGCTAATGGGACTGGAGATCTGGACATCTGATAGCTGACGCTTTTTCTGCCTCTCCAGTGACAATCAACATGGCACCTCGCCTCAAAGCCTGCCTCCCAGTGTGAACCTCTTTTCTGAGGACCTATCGATGCTATTTACATAAAAGTAGACCACAATCCCATTTCCTCAATTTCCAAGTTTAGGGAAGGGATAAGCCAGGAAACTGTGCTGATAATCACAAGGATTCGTTAACAGAGGTCAATCTCCAAATCAATGCCTTCTCTCTGTGCAGGCACATTTCTTTGGGAGTCACACTAGAACCAGAAGCGTGGTAGACAGAGAAGCAGTTACTACCCCCAGGCCTCGTGCTGTCTGTAGGTTAGACACCGCCCCTTGGAGTGCAGCTGGGACTGCCATCTCTCCCTGAACACTATATAGAACTAGTAGTGCTTCTCCTTAAGCATATTCTGTTCTAGGCCCAACGAATTCACACTGTGCATTCTTGGTTATACCATACTCCAGCCATGTCCCTAAAGCAGTCCTTCCAACCTCAGGTTGTGTTCTTTCCACAAATGGCTGATTGCCCCTCACTTCTACTTTAATCTTCAGAGAACAAACTGAATGACAGGTCTAGGAGTACCCTTCAGTCATTCCCATGAACCACTTACATCACTGATCAAACATTGAAAAGACATATGCCTCAATTTCCTAATGGGTACAAGTCTTTAATGGAAAACCACCAAATATTTAGACTGCAGGTGTATTTGGGGTGGGGGTGGGGGTCCTATCAGCTCTTGCCTTGGTGATGGTGGGCAGGGGACACCTTTTCCTAACACAGGACACCACCCAGACACTTAATTGCAGCAAGGGGACATCGGGGAGTGAAGTGCAGAGAAGGTAATGAAGCCAACAAAGCTCAAAGGAAAGGGCAACTCCACATCCTCAGGTGAGACTGTGCCTCTCCTGCACACGCAGCAGCTCACTCAGACCCCAGAGCCCTGCTCCACCCATGGCCCTGGACCTTCCTTTCCTCTCTGCTTTCTATTATCAACAATTATTCCATCCTGTAGGTGATTCTTCTTCTCTCCAAGTTATCCATGGAGTGGAAAGAGCAGCAGGTGGTTTATTATTTGCTTAGACTTAACTAAGACCATTAAATGAACGACAGAAAATAATAAAGCTTTTCAGTTCTCTTGAACTTTCCCAATACTCTCTGGTACTTCCTCCAGAACTAAAGTAAACGTGGATATGTAGCATTAAGAGCTCACCATCTCCCTCTCTTCAGCACCATTACAAAAACCTTAGCTAGCTAACAGCAGCCACCATAGTAAGAAATACTGTTATTTCCCCAAGTGACTCATGTCAATCACCACCAAGGCAAATAGTAAACTGGTAACAGTTTGATGATTGACAGATTGCAGAAGGAACAGAAATTAGGTAATTCATGTTTCTTGCTAAAAGATTTGCTACTCCAATACCATAAACAATAGCATATATAAACAAATTGAGAACTACACTTTTTAAACAAGTACTCAGGATTATTAGAGAAATAGTCTTTTAAACATGCTTTAAAGAAATTATTTATGAAAGGGATATGCAGTAGTTGCTCTGCTTTGTTCTTTTCTAGTTTTTACTACATCTAAAAATTGGCAAGTTTTCTCAATTGTGATGTGACACTATTTAGGAAAACAGTTCACCTGGCAGAATTTTGGAAGAGTAGTCAAGCAAGAAGCCAGAGCTCATGATTGTAATGGTTTTGAAGTAGCAAACGCAAATTCTGAATGGTGATGAGATGCTGGATCCTACTATGCAAAATACAACATTGTAATTGAGGGGTAGATACTGCTGCTTCTTTCTGGGCCGAAAGGAGTAACGGATTTATAGCATATAGCACTATAATCAGATCATCATGGGAGAATGAATCTGAAGTTGGTTGGCTTTTTTTAGACACATCCTACAATTGCAGTTCCACATTTAAATCTGAGGATAATGTGCAATTGGTTTACATGGGTGTGCTTTCATTATATCTAGAGAGAAAACATCGATGGCATTTTTGTTCAATGAAGAAAGGTAAATCTAATTATATTCTTGATACCTAGAAACATTAATCGGCAGGAATTTTTTCAGAGAAAACCCTCAAGATCTAAAACAATTTTGTGCTAGCATCCAAAATGTTCTATCCAGTTCCAGAAATGTATCATATTAGCAAATAAAATAGCTACTATTTGTAATGAAATGTAGTAACTGGCTAAAATTCTAGGTTAATAACTATTACGACCATTTAAAATTTAGTTTATAACTTTAGCGATACCTACTGAACACTTCTTACATTCAATTGTATAGATAAGCAATCCATTTAATCTTGAAAAACACTATGTAAAACTATAGAAATGAGTTGCAAACTATTATACTCCCCTGCAAACTATTATACTCCCTCATCAATTCTACAACTGCAATAAATTTAATACTGTAAGCAGACTGAACAAATCAGATCACTGTGGAAAGAATTCAGCAACTTTAACAAGTCATATTGTAATTTTTATGAGCTAAGAGTAGAGGCAAATGGAATTCTTAGAACATTAAAAATAGATTTTAAAGACAAGGTCCCAACTTATTCTTATATACACACACAAAAGTTCATCTGTCACAGACAGCAAATATCGAATGTATACACTGGAGTTTCCAGCACCATCCTGTACATTTAAAATAATTAAAATAAACAGAAAGTTGACAAATTTATCTAAGGTGGATCATTCAAATCTGTGTAAGATGAAATACAGCTGTTCAGGTGCTCACTGCTGCTTCTCAAATGCAAAAACCAAGTAAATACCTAAAAAAAAAAAGATTAAAAAAAAATAAAGTTACAGTTTGCTTCATCAAATCCTCGGGGAAAACAAAACAATCTCAATCCTATTTATAATTTGGTAAAAATTCTTAGGCCTTCAAGCAACTTTTAATTAGTCATTTAAAAAGCAGATGAGGGGTTATATATGTTTACTTGACAACAAATGTCAATATACAGTGATATCATAGCCCCCGAGAAGACCAATTCAAAGGCTTTAAAAATCTCTAAAGTTTAAGAAAATTTAAGAATATAAAAGCAAAGAAAATTAAAAGTAAAAAAATCTTAGGACTAATTTTATTTTTTATCCAGAGCAATGTTGCTCTGGATAAAAAATAAAATTAGTCCTGATATATATATATATATACACACACATACACACACACACACACACACACACACACACACACACACACACATATATATATCTCCTGTCTAATAAGGAGGTAATATGCAAATTGACCATCACTCCAACACACAAGATGGCTGCCCCCATATGGTCAAAGATGGCTGCCCCCATGTGGACATAAGATAGCCGCCACAAGATGGCCTGCAAGAGAAGGCAATTAGGGGAGACTAGGCCTGCAGGGGAGGGCAGTTCAGGGCACCAGGCCTGCAGGGGAAGGCAATTGGGGGCGACCGGACCTGCAGGGAAGGGCAGTTAGGCACTGACCAAACTGGCAGGGAAGTATTTAGGGGGTGAGCAGTTATGGGCAATCAGGCAGCCAGGTAGGCATGTGAGTGGTTGGGAGCCAGCAGTCCCGGATTGTGAGAGGGTTCCCAGATTGGAGAGGATATAGGCTGGGCTGAGGGACACACACACACCCACCCACTCACCCCCTGTGCAAGAATTTCATACACTGCCCCCCCCTATATATATATGACATATATATATATATAATTTTATTCAGAAGAATGATAAGGAATATATAACATGCATGTTAAAATTCTAATAACTAAATTGGCTGGTAAGGAAAGTGAGCCAAAGGTTACATGATAATCAATGCTTAAAGGTATTAATCTGGCCCCAACAATGATACTTCTCCATGAATCCAGCCCCAAGGGCACTTTCTTAAATAAAACTTATTAAAATTCTTAATTTCATATTTTAATGATCACTTTAAAACAATCTTTGAAAATATCAGTAAACATATACTGATGATATACTCACTTGTAGCTTCCCATTCTGATTTACTTAAGGTTCCCTAAAATTACAAAAAAAAAAAAATTTTTTTTTCAGATTGAATATGGAAGTACAGTTGATCTTTGAACACAGGTGTGAACTGCATATGTCTACTTATATGTGAAAAATTTTTAATAAATACTGCCAATTTATTTTCCTTATGCTTTAAAGAACATTTCCATTTCTCTAGCTTACTTTAATACATTTATATATAAAATATGTATTAACTATTTATGTTATCAGTAAGGCTATTAGTTAAATTGGGAGGGGGGATCAAACATTATACTTGGATTTTCAACTGTACAAGGAGCCAGTGCCGCTGAACCCATGTTGTTCAAGGGTCAACTGTGTGTATATATATAAACACATAGTCCAAACACTATCTTTGCTATAAATATATATACAAATACTATAAATATTACTGTGACCTGAACATTTAAAACAAATCGTAACCTTTAACACCACCCTCTCAACACTTTTGTCCTCCTGCCAAATTCTCTTAACTATTACTTCTCAACTGAAGGGTGAATTTGCGTAAAGAGGGTGTTTATGTGTGTGTAATTGAAAAAAGCATCAAGCTTGTAGGAAAACAAAAAAATCAAAATGCCTATCTCAAAACATCAAATAAAGAAATAAAATTTTTATGTTTTTACAAAGAAATCACCAAATGAAGTACATATTATACAGAGGAACTGAATTATATTTAAAATAGTTATCAAAATATTAAAAACATTTTGATATAGTAATGAAATGGCTACCAAGATATAGTAGCAACTAATGTAATTTTGAAGAATGAAAGTAAACAATATTCTAAGATGTCAGCAGAAATGTGTTATGCAAATATATATAATTTCTATTAATGACAGTCACAGCTACAAATAATACAACTGTTATTGTTGTGTTCATAATAGAAGAAAATATAAACTTCATGTAGAAGTCAGTGAAAATGAAAATGTAATTTTTTTACCATCTGTTCATGAGCCCTGAATTTTATCTATGGAACACATTAGATAATAGCACCTAGGTTAAGATATAATGATATAACAAGAAAACTCAAACCAAGCCTCTTAACATTTTCCCCATCTTTACTGCTTCATAGATAGCACTCCATTCTCAGTACATTTTATTCCCCAGTCTATGGTTAAAAAAGTCATCATAACTTAAGGGAAACAGGTTAATGTGTATATGATTTATAACTCAGTAAACCCATGTTCTATATACCAATGAGATAATTTCCTAAGTTTCCATATGTACTTTTTTTAATTTTTTTTTTTTTTTAAGAAAATAAGTTAAAATTTGAAAACTTACCAAAGGTAATCTTACTTGACTATTTTTTATGTACTGTGCTGCATGTTCATAGTCATCTGCCTTTTCAGAAGCAAGTTTGGAATTCCCATTTGCAGGATATGCCTAGGGAAGCAAGTCAAACTCCTTGTTAAGATATTACATGAAATTTACAATGCAGAACAAACATACTAAATCACCGAAATAAAATAATTATCACAATAATTCCCAAGTATTACTTCAGGAAGACAAACTACATATACTTGTGAAATATATATATATCCTATATAATAAAAGACTAATATGCAAATAGGCCCAACAGTGGTATGACATGCACTGACCACCAGGGGGCAGACGCTCAACACAGGAGCTGCCACCCCTGGTCAGTGTGCTCCCACAGGTAATGCCACTCAGGCAGAAGCCAGGCTCAGCTAGAAGCCTCTCCTGCTTCCACAGCAGTGCTAAGGATATCTGACTGACGGCTTAGGCCCACTCCCTGTGGCTCCCAGACTGCAAGAGGGTGTAGACTGGGCTGAGGGACACCCAATTCCCTGTGTGCACAAATTTCCTGCACCGAGACTTTATATTCATACATATACATACACACACACACACACACACACACACACACATATAAAGAGTGGCAGGCAGCTGTTATGGTGCACTTGATCATAAACAGAATATTTGAAGTTGGACTAAATTATATCATTTAATCACCACTAAGGACCACTTAGCAGCAAACACTTGCAGTTCCCTGACTCTCAGTCAAAGGCTTTTTCTGTTACAACACAAAGCTGAAGAAAGATATTATCAAATGACCTAAATGTTAATTTGAGCATTATAGCTATTGAATAGCCACAGAAGGCATGAACAGCAATTAGAAACAATACAAATGAAAAACTCTAGTCAACAGAGAACCCAGTAAGTTTAACAAGATAAGGAAAATAATCTAGCCTCCAAATTATAGGTAATCTCCACATTCTCATAAGAATCTGAAGAAGGGTCAACAAAACAAACAAAAAAAGTGTGTATGTGTAAGAGTATGTTGGCCAAATGTCTATTCAAAGTACCCCAACCACTATTTATAGGGCATTTTAACAAAAATGCTCCCTGACTATGATCAGTAATAAAATACATACGGAAAATAATTAATGGCTGTCCACTGTGTTTAAAGCTTACATAGACTACCTTCACTACTGCATTAGGGGAAGCAGAGGAGTCCAGGAGTTAAAGCAGGTCTCAGGAGCAATATAAGCTACAGATTGAAATCTTGCTAACTTGTCTCACACCCTGCCTAGGGAGGTTTTAAATTACTGTTTAGCAAAAGGGCATTAGTGTAAAGAAGCGGTTCTCACCTGGGGGTGATTTTGAACCCCAAGGGATATTAAGCAATGACTAGAGACATTTTTGGCTGTCACAGCTGGGACAGGAGTGCTACTGACATCTAGGGATATTTTTGAACATGCTACAGTGCACTGAATAGTCCCTAAAACAAACAATTATCCAGCCAAAATTCCAAAAGTCCTGAGGTTGAAAAATGTTATTTTAAAGAATTACTATCTAAAAAATAAAATTTGATGACAGCATCACTCATTCATTCATTCATTCATTGAGCACCTAACCTGGATAGTTTCTGTGCCAAGCTCTGTTCTAGATGCTGAAGTTTCTAGAGTAGTTATAAATAATCTATGTAATATATCAATATTAAGCGTCTACATGGAATCTCAGAAACAGCCATTGCTTTCAAAATACTTACCTCCAGGGCCTGCATTCGTTTTAACAGCATTTTATTTTCACTGTTCTTAATCTTTTCTTCATAGAATTCCCGAAATGTTTTTTTGTAGATGAGTTTCATATTGTACTTCTTCACCATTCTGTCCAAAACAATATTACATAATGAAAAGGCTTCTAAAATATTTGTAATATCTTAAGCAGCTTACTTTCACACAATATGACATCTTCTAAACGTAACTAAAAAAACTACAATATTTCCTTCATATATTCACAATAAAATGATGCAAAATAAAAGCTGAGCAATATACCATTGACAATTTCTATAAAAAAAATGTCTTCCAAATCTCAATGGGTCACAGGGAGCTCTCTAATAATACAACAAATGGGTCAGGAACCAAAATGAAAGTCCGTGAGATGGAAATTGACCTATAAGAACACTTTTCTATAGAATCCATTTTATTTAATTTTAGAAGCAAGTTTGGAATTCCCATTTGCAGGATATGCCTAGATTCTATAGAATCCTCACAGCAGTATTGAAAACAGCTGCCAACTTCCTTCTTAAAATAGTCATCCTCCCTTGGGTTCTATGGCAAGTTGTAGACACTATTAATTTTTATTTTACATATTGGGTTGCTTGTTTGCTTCACAGGTTTCCTTTACCCAAGTTTAGTTGTTAAAGAGTCTGGCTGAGAGCCTTTACTCATTTTCATTCCCCTGATTTTACCCAGCACAGTTATCAGTGTTCAGCTCTCTCTTCTGTTCTACTCATTTACCCCACTACTTACTACAAATTTCCACCAAGATCTGGCATAGGCATTCTCTAACTTCCCATGTCCAAGGCTGACTCCCACTAGACTCTTTCTCTGCCAATCTTTGCTATTTCAGTAAATTTCTTTAATGATTCATGCAGAAATCCTGGGAGTTCTCTATACCGTCACCCTCTGTCCATTGCCCACTCCATCCTATATAATAAAAGCCTAATATGCTAAATGTCTGTTCAACCAATCAAAGCTTAACATGCTAATGATATGCTAAGGCCACTCAACAACTTGCTAGATGTGCACTAACCACCATAGCAACCTAGCACTGACTTCTGGTCTGGTCAAGCTTCGGTTTACACACCCTGGCTCTTTATTATAGAGATTGCCTATGAGACATAAGAGATTTCAGAGCCATAGTGAAATAGGAAACAACTTTTAATACCCATTCGAATAAAAAGGATTCATTTGATAACACCAAATTACTAGTAGTTATTTAAAAAATTTTTTTTTGCTATTTGTAATGTCAGGTATTTTTGCCAGAAGTTGAAGGTAACAGACTTCCTTTCTTAACTACAAGATAAAATAATTATAGGAATAAAAGAAAAGCTAAGCAAGGCTGTAAGAGACCAATGGCGCAACCGTGGTTTGAGGGTTTTGTTTTTTAAAACAAGGCTATATTTTTTCTTTGGGAATCTATAGAGAACTGTCTAGAAATACAGATTTTCCCCTTCCCCCTTTTTCCTCTCGGAAGGCAAAAGAGAATAGTAACAAATAAATGACATTCTTACTCAGTTAGCAATGGAAAATAGACCAAGAATTCAGGGACATCCACAACGCCTTCCAAGTGGAAGTCATACTTGCAGCCAAATAAAGGATAATCTCCTTTCTTCTGAAATTTTACAGTATATATTTCATTTCCAAATGATTCTGTTTCTGAAGCTTCAAGGCGCCTTCTGTTTTTCCCAAACCAAAATAAAAAAGATTAAAATTGTTATTAGTTCAGATTTATTCTGATCAGATTATGCGCACACACAAAAAACACACATACACAACATGATGAAATTTTAAAAAGACAATCAATTAGCTTTTTTGGGATATTTTTTATTATTATTTATTTATTACAGAGAATGGGAAGAAGGGAGAGAGAGAAACATTAATATGAGATACACATTGACTGGTTGCCTCCTGCACACACCTTGACCATGGCCATGGATAGAACCTGCAACCCAGTATGCACCTTTGACCCTTCCACTTGTGGGCCAGCACTGAACCACACTGGTCACGGCTGATGAGCTTTTTAATAGAATTTTAGCTACTTTAAAGATGTAATGTACTAGAAGTTCACTAATTATCACACTAATAATAAAATTAAGGTAGAGGGTAAAGTTCATTATCATTACAGCTAATTCTCTGTGCCTTGGAATCTGATGTGCAGCTTGTCTAGCACTATAACCTTTGGCTCGATGTAACATAAGCCTTGAGTATCTATTCAAATAAATTACCAAAATGTTTATCAATTTTATGATCAATATGGTATGTTTTATAAAAGCTCTCCGATAAACATTGCTACTTTAAAATAAGCTTAATACTGAGTCTATTGTAAACCACAACATATTTAAAAGTACTTACATCAATTCAAAGCTATTGGGAGTGGTACCGATAAAATATCCTCCAGGGCTAAGTCTCTCACAAGCATTTCTAAGCATCATGTCAGCCTGATCATAGGACTCAAATGAGTAATGACAAACAAACTGACAGCTGCAGATGTCAAAACGCATTTCTGGGTCACGAAATTTGTCAATCAAAAGTTCCTAAAGCAAAAGAAAAAAGAGTAAATATATTAGAGTCCAACATAAATTTTTTTTTTTTTAGCAAATAATTTCTAAAATCAGGGTTCTTAAAATAAAAGTAGACATGCCCTCCAAATGACCTATCCTTTCTTTCATGTATAATGAGGATCATAATGAAATCATATTTTCATTCTTGCTCAGTAGAAATTTGATTCCCATTTTCATAGCAATTTTTAAAAAGTAGGAATTCTAAAATCATGTTAAAATGTATCAATCAAATAAGACATGTAAAGGAGTTGATCCTTTTATTTGGCTTTACTTGAAAATAACACTGAACAATAACTTGGGTTAAAAAATTCCCCGAAGGCAGCTATGCTCACCACTATACCACCAACGCGGACTAAAAAATTCCCCAAAAAAAGCCGAAACGGGTTTGGCTCAGTGGTAGAGCGTCGGTCTGCAGATTGAGGGGTCTCAGGTTCGATTCCGGACAGGGGCATGTACGTTGGCTGCGGGCACATCCCCGGTAGGGGGTGTGCAAGAGGCAGCTGGTTGATGTTTCTCTCTCATCAACATTTCTAGCTCTCTATCTCTCTCCCTTCCTCTCTGTAAAAAATCAATAAAATAAAATTAAAAAAAAAAAAATTACCCAAAGCTGGCCTTACATTAAAAACAAACAAACAAACAAAAAAAACCCAACACTAATGTTTTTAAAGGTTTCCAACATTCTAGCAGTATACTACCACTTTTCCTCTCACTTTCAAAACTGCTAACAACACATGTAGGATGATTAAGGATATCTCTAATAGCTTAATGAACTAATAAGACAAAGAACAGACTTTCACCATTCAAGTGTCTCTGTAGTTTTACATTTCATAGCTGTTAAGCAATTCAGAAACAGATAGAAGGTGAAAAAGAAAAACAGACTATAATATATTGGGAAACTACCTTCATAAATTACAAAGTGAACAAAACAATTCAATTCTATTACAAAACACTGGAAAATAAATCTTGCTCAAATGGGAAAGCAACAAGTGATTTCAAAAGTTCAAATGATTAAAAAACAAAAAATTCTCAGTGGATCATTAAAAAAATTGATCATGACAGAATTTCTAGTTGGAAAGGAAAATGTGTCATAAGGATTTTTAATGTTGCAAAACACACTATATATATATATATATATTATTGATATTTTACAGAGAGGAAGGGAGAGGAATAGAGAGTCAGAAACCTCGATGAGAATCATCAACCAGCTGCCTCCTGCACACCTCCCACTGGGGATGTACCCGCAACCAATGTACATGCCCTTGACGGGAATCGAACCTGGGAACTTTCAGTCCGCAGACCGACACTCTATCCACTGAGCCAAACCGGTTTCAGCCAAAACACACTTTTTTTAAAAAGCTAATTTTTAAAACAAATTATTTACCCAAATCGAATATGTAAAAAATAAATTGACAAAATTTTAAAAACCTTGTACCTTAGAACAATCAGCGGTTATAAATTCTGCATTGAAAATATACTCATTATCCCGACGATTTTTCATGTCCTCATACCGTTGCTGACACTGTTTGACAGAAACATCAGCAATATCTAGAAGGGGAAAGGACGTTAGTAACAGTCAACAAAGATGCATAGAGAGAAATTGTAAAGCAAAGATGGCACAAATCCATACATTAACCTCAACAGATAAACTTCCCCATGAAATCTAGCCTTAGTACAAGCAAAAAAAGTCCTATTTCCTTCAAAACAAATCATTATAGAATTTTTAAATGTCTTTGTTCCTATAATTTTTCAAAAGACATTTAAAAATTCTATAATGATTTTTAAATGCTTATTCAAAGTTAAAAACAGAAAGTTTAGATTCCAATTTCAATTATAAAACCTAACACTGTATGCCCAGTTTTGGAAATACTGAATTTATATTTTCTTAATAAAATATTATTTGCCCTTTTCTCTGTGTTGAAATTTGCACTGATGAAGCAAAAGCAATAGTGGATAAAATGGTGACACCTTATTAATGAATAAAAGGTAATGGCACTAAATGTATTGCTAATACTTATATTCTTCAGCACTATAAAACTAATATGGGGGAAAAAGCCAGTTTCATGTAAGAATATCCTTGATAAAGCAGTAAAAATAAATTTTATTAAATCTTGGCTTTTAAACACATCTTTTTAATATTCTATGCGATGAAATGGAAAATAAAAAAAATTTCTACTCTATAACAAAAGTATAAACAGGACTGGTGTGACTGTTATGAGCTGACTGGCCAATTTTTTCATAGAAAATTATTTTCACTTGAAAGAACCACTGACAAAGCGGTTATTCAGACATGGTGATATAGCAATTATTATCTTGAAAATAAACAAAGTGAACTTATCACTTCAAGAAAAACAATGGACATATTTTTACCAGTGATAAAATTTGAGCTTTCAAGTGAAAATTACAATTCAGAAAAACTGACATGTACCACCATGGGCTGGGCATCTTGCCATTCCTTCTCTGATTGGTGGTGATACCAAACAAGTGATTTCTTGATGTCAACATAGAGATCTGTATAACTTTAGTGAACATTATTTTCCAAATATTACAAAATCTCATGGGGCAAAACAGCCATCCAAAGTGCAAGATAAACCACTGGAATTAAATTTAACAGATTATGAAAAGTTCATTATTATGGTTTCAGATTCCACACTGTGGATCTTTAAGGAACTTGTCAAGTTTTGATATAAAATCAAAGATGAATTTCCTATCTGAAAATACTCCTGCATTTTTCAACTACTTATCAAGTAAAATAACAAATCACAACATACTGAATGCAGAAACAGGTATGAGAATCCAGTTGTCTATTATTCCAGACTCTAAAGGAATTTGCAAAAAATATTTTTAAAATGCCAATCTTCTTACTAAATTTTTTAAAATGGATTAAAACGATTTTTAAAATTCTGTTTTTATTATTATAATCAATTGATATAGTCACACACATAAGAGCTTTCTGGGGTTTGCAAGTCTTTTTATGTATACAGTGGTTTTAAAAGCAAAAAATCGAGAAGTGCCAAGTTAGACAGTGCTTCACAGGCAGTGCTGTGCACTTCCTCTTACTCATCACATTGGGAAGAATATGATGACTGCTTGTTCCACTGTAGTGTTAAGACTGACCAGTGGGTCCAGGTACTTGATTCATTCAGTTAAGTTCCTTCCAAGTTTACCCAGTAGCTTCAGCATCTGTTCATGAGTGTTGCTTAGAGCTATTATTCCATCAAGGAAGAAAAATTGTGATTTTCATCATTCCTCCTGATTTTTCGATAAATCGACATTTTCCTTTTCGACCATTTGGTTACCTTGAAATACGATTCATATAGGATAGAGATGATACTCAATCTTAATTTATAAATTTCAGAATAATGAGTAAGTTTTGCAGCAACCTCTAAGGGTGAACATTATCTCATCTTAAAAACATCTCATGCATAACCCCCACATATCCTGAAATAAAATATTTTAGTGTCATTTTGATGAAATCCATCTTAATTTCCATTTTCCTGATTTGACAAAAATTACTTTTTCCACACCATTATTATCTTACCGGTACAAACTAGCTTATTAATTCTTCCCTTTTTCCACTTGAGCAAATCTCCACCTTTACCACATCCCAGGTCCAAAACAGTAATGTCGCGTGTTTTTTTCTGCCGTAACTTTTCTAAAAATTCCCCTAAAACAGAGAAAAAGACATAATATATGATCTCCATTTTATTAAAGCATAAATTGTCGTCCCTAATAAACTATTAACTTCTGTCTGACATGTAATATGAAATACTATATTTTCATTTATGTAATTCATAACTTTTGGTAAACATTTCAAAATATGACAGATAATAACTTGATCTTCTAGCATTGAAGATAAAAAGGCATGTATCTGGATTTAAGAAAGTTAAGACAGGTTTTGAAGATTACTTTCAGAATCTGACTTAATATTAAAAAGCAGACATTTTAAATTCTAATTAATACAAAAGACCCAATAATTGTTCATGATAAAAGAAAACCTTATCATTCATATTTTTTTAATAGTTTTCTCTTTCCAAAGCTAAGTATTTAGCTTATTGTACACCTAATAAAAATAATTATAGAAGAATAAGAGTGCCTGCGTGTCATAAAAGATATCAGTCAGGCTCACCACCCCAAAAAATATAAGTAGACAAAAAAGTATATATACCCCTTAATTTTACTATCATCAGAATTCTTAAATACTCTGAAGTAAAAAAAAAAAAAAAAAAAAGGAATCTTTCATCCCAATCTACCAAATCACATTAAAAGCCGTATCAGTGGTTCCCCATATATCAATAGCCAAATGTTTCAATTATCAGTTACAGACATCTTAATACCCTTAGACCAGTGCTCACAAACCGTGGCTCTCGAGCCACATGCAGTTCTTTGGCCCCTTGAGTGTTCTAACACTTCTTCAAAAACAGACTCGCCAGGCCGAAAACCTACTTCTGCACACGGGCCACGAAGTTCCAATTGCACTGTATGTGCACACCCACAGGTAGTATTTTGTGGAAGAGTCATACTCAAGGGGCCAAAGAGCCACATGTGGCTCACGAGCTGCAGTTTGCCGACCACTGCTTTAGATGATTGAAGTAGTCAGCAATTCTAAATTTGATACACTACTGCATCCAAAATCTACTTTTTCTGTCTTCAACACTGAGTTTAACACTTTCTATTTAATGTTATTTAATGTGTATTATTTTGATTGCTAGCATATTCCATATAAATGCTTCTGCCTTTCACTGTCCACAGGATTTTAAAGTAATTTCAATAGAAATACAAGTGTCCCATATTTAACTTACTGCTATGAATCTTAAGAAACAGCATAAAAATAATATAGAAAGAGTGAAAAACAACCATTATAAAATCTCTATTTCCATACAGAAAGACTAATTAGAGAAATCATCAAAAAACATTTCAAACATATCTTCATCACATTCATGAACAGTACTCAACTATTTACTGAACTATAAACACCAACAAGAAAGACAGTGAATGACAAGGAACGGATGTTGTGAAGAGAAAGGAAAAAGCCAGAGGGAGCTTTGCATACACAGACCACAAGACTGCATTAGGGCCAGAAAGGCAGATGCAGATGTCAGGGCATCCGCTGAGAGAGTTACTGAACAGCTGAAGGAAAATAACATGAATATTCTGAGATAAATTTTTGCTACGTCTGACTTAACTCTTTTAATAAATACATGAATAAATTATACATCATTAAAATATTTAATGATAAGTTATCTGCATCATTGGATATGCAGAAGGAAAGCAAGAGAGAATAAATCAGGATTAAGGTCCAAAGATTACCTTAAAAGTCTAAGCTAATATTGACATAAAATTAACCTTCAAAATAAAGAGAAAAGAAAACTGACACTCAATTACCCTCACTAACAACTGGCAGAGTCAAATAAATAATATTTTTGTAATAAAACATGATTAAAAATTGTTTCTCTCTCATCGATGTTTCTAGTTCTTTATCCCTTTCCCTTCCACTCTGTAATAAATGAATAAAATATATATATATATTTTTTTTAAATGAACCTAGTTTCACTCTTAACACTTCTCAGAATGTCTAATTTATCTTTAAAAGTTAGTAAATTTTCATCAAACCTAGTAGAAAGTATCCATAATTAGCACTTCTTTCCAGTGTAACCAAGAAAGTATTTTCACTTTTTCTAAGACTGGTTTTAAAAAAACAAAGAAAAACTTCAAAACAAACTTGCTTTTAAAAACCTAACTTTGTGTAATAGTCTAATGTACTAGATATACAAAGTAATAAACATATCCTGAATCATACTTCCTCAACTGACTTCCATTTTAATTTCAAAGGTGAGTTGCCACAGATAAAATACTAGATCCAAAAAGTTGACTATCTCCATAATCCTCAATATAAACTTTATTTTCTCCTCAAACACTATTCAAGAAAAATAAGTTTAATGGACAATCAACAGACATGATCTTTACCAACACATTAAAGATCTCAAAATAAAAAATCATGACACTGCCAATTTCCTTGATTTAATGGAATCTTAATGTTTAATCCAACAACATGTCATTGCTCCAAAACTATTATTAGAGTAAAAGAGAACAATTACCTAATAGCATTAACTCTAATAATAAAAGGGGCATCCTACCTTTTGAAAGCCTGGTTAACTTTTCAATTTAATATCCATTAAACAGTTATTAGTATCTTTATGTAGTCAACAAAAGTAAACATAATCATTTAATCTCAAAGGCCTGTCTTTAGTTTTGGCTCCAGTTTTATAAAGTCAAGGTTTGATGACTAAATATATCTAAAGATCTAGCAACTTGGTATATGATTAACCATTTAGTGGGGGAAAATGAGACATAAGCTGAAATAAAACATTCCAAAGAGTAAATTTTTAAAAATCATACCAATGAGGACGCTTTTCATCCAATTATTAAAGTTTCTTAGGTAAAAAATTCGACTTTGGCTACGCTTTTCCAAGCCAACTTCCTGAAGTTCATTGTAGTGGGCAGCCACTGTTGAGCTGTGGCCTTCCTTTAAGTGCTGAAAATAAGAGAATAGAACAACATTAAGGATTACAACATGGAAAAAATAAACCTAAACGAGCATCTGACCTATATAAAGATAAAACGCAATAAAATTGATAAATTTCACTGAACAACAGCATTAGCCACAGAAATCTCACTAATTATAATCAGATGTAAGATTTGTTTTCCCTTCCCTACTTTTAAAAAAATCTCTAGGTTTAAAATTTTCATCTTGATCTTTTGTCCATATAATTCTACTATCAATGTTTTAATAAAACAAGTACTCTTCTAATGCCCTAATTTACTCAATTGAATAAATTCCAGTCAGTGGAATAGAAATGAGTAATATGTACTATCCTATATAATAAAAGGGTAATATGCAAATTAACCCTAAGGGATGGGGGAAGACCAGAAAGAACCTGTTGCTATGACGCACACTGACCAGCAGGGACCAGACTCTCAAAGCAGGAGCTGCCCCCTGGTGGTCAGTGCGCTTCCACAGGGTGAGTGCCGCTCAGTCAGAAGCTGGTTCATGGCTGGCCATCGCAGTGGTGGTGGCAGGAACCTCTCCCACCTCCTCAGCCGCACTAAAGATGTCCGACTGACGGCTTAGACCTGCTCCATAGGGGCTCCCCAGCTGCCAGAGGGATGTCTGACTACCAGCTCAGGCCCCATCCCCCCGGGGAGCGGCTCTAAGCCGGCAGGTGGACATCCCCTGAGGGGTCCCAGATTGTGAGAAGGCACAGGCTGGGCTGAGGGGCAACCCACCCCAACCCTGAGTACATTGGGCCTCTAGTATATTTATAAAATAGCTGTGACCATTACAGAAAGAGATTAGGGCTCAACAGGCTACCTTCAGTGTCAGTGATTCTTACTACTATTTGCTATTAATCTATTTCAACATTTTCAATTTGTGCTCCCTACTTAAGGCCCTGAGCCTTTGGCAAAATTCCCATGGAAGGTATAGGGAATTCAGATCCCCATACTTCCTGTTCAACCAAAGATTTTTCCTGAGAAAAGGCTTCCACTGCTAGTAAAAGTTTGAAAACTGAGTTTATAATACAAGCTCCTCTCTTACAAGTATTCACACTCCACTAACGACAAATGCTTAGCCTATCTAAGCAAACTCCTCCTCGTGACTGATGGCAGAATTTTACTCATTCATTGAAGCTCTCTTTCCCTCCAGATCCAGATTTTGTCTCTGGTATTCCCAGATGAAAATGACTTGATATTCCTTGCTCTATAGTATCCCTGCTAAACATCAGTCTTCTGTGTCCACTTAGCTAAAACTATATGCAACTACCCAAACAAGAAGTTGAAACAATATAGTTAAAGAAGTTGCAGTAAGAGAAAAAAAAATGTAAAACTGGACATAATTTTTAAATGTATCTTTTTAAGTGATACTATTTCAGAGACAAAGAGATGAACATTTACTAAAAAATGAAACAAAGTAAATCATCTGGGACTCATACTCTTGTCTTTTTTAAATGCCAAGACAAACCATAAAACTAGCTTTCAAGTTTCTGGTCAAATAAGAGTTTGATATCATAAAAATTATCTCATTAGAAGTTTCACCTAAATAAAAACAATTGAAGTACAAGAGTTAAAAACTTACTCTATCTTAATATAATAAAAAATAACATTCTGAAGTTATTAAGATCATGTAAAAACCAGTATTATTTCACAGCTGCTCCATATTTCAATTTAACATATACCATTATAAATAAAATAAAATACATTCAACATACTTTCTGCTTTTCAGAAACATCGTCAGGTTCTCTTTTTCTCTTTTTTGGAGTACCGTCTACAGGAGAAGGTTCATCTTTTGGAAAATCATCAGTTTCCAGCCTTTTTTCCCTTGAAATGCCTTCATCATCACCAGAACCTTTTTCCTCTGGTTCAAGTTCAGCATCAAGTTTGCTTTTCTTGGATGGAGTGTCTTCTCCACAGCTAGAACTCTCTTTTACAAGATCATCTGCAAACTCCATTTTTCTTTTTTGGGGAGTGTGTACTTGCATAGGAGCCTTTTCAAAAAGCTCAGTCTCAGGAGCAGTAGTGCTTTCATTATGGCTGAATGAAGACTCTGTTCCTGAATTTATTGATGCTTTCTCTTCTTCAAGAGAGATCTTTTCACATTCCTCTGCTTTTACAGAATTTTCCATTTTTGATTACTTAGATGATAAAACTTCATGAACACTGAAATGGCAAAAATTTGATATTACTTATAATCACTTTAAAAATAATTTTAACCAGACGCTAGCCATTCATTTAATTTCAATGACCAACTAGGAGCTTTTTAAATCTCATGAAAATGATGTTAATATACATTAATATCAATTTATGAATATACAAATGTGGGAGTATTAATTATAATCCCCAAACTCTTTTAGCAATCTTACCCATAAAAGTCACTATTGGCATTAAAACTGACAAATGAAGTGGGGGTGTGGGGGACATACAAGTTTCTTTTCTATTCTGAACCTTACTTTATAGCCTTGATTCCCAAATTGTGTGCTGGGCACTATAACAAACTCATACAGGCACAGCAGGATATTTTAAAATTTTAAGGGAAGCATAGTGATATCTGGTATCTGGAAGATATCACAGATACAGATTCAAGTAGAGCACAATTTCAGCTGAGCAGATTGCACTATATCCCTTTCAATGACATCATAACTTTGTGAAGCAGATATTTTTGTGGCACTGAATAAAATCAATTAAACAGGAAATGAAGTTGGTGATGTTGGATCTTATTTCAAGGTTTGAGAAGTTTTACAGTACCCAACAGGTGCATAGATTCCATTAGTAAGAACTCATGTTTAACTAAAATTAAACACAAATATCATTTTTTAAATAAAGTTGCTAGGACATAAATATTTAATTATTTTTAAAATATATATATTTTTATTGATTTCAGAGAGGAAGGAAGGAGAGGTAGACATGAATGTTGAGAATCTTTGATCAGCTGCGTCCTCTATGCCTCCCACTTGGGGATTGAGCCCATAACCCTGGCATGTGCCCCTGTCGGAATCTGGGACCCTTCAGTCTGCAGGCCATTGCTCTATCCACTGAGCAAAACTAGCTCGGGCATACTTAAATTCTTTGACTAAACTAATGAATGGCACTGTTAGGTATTTCTTTTGGCCTAGAGACATTGGGGAAAAAAAAAAAAAAGACACACACAAAACACACATCAGAGACACTAATAGAAACAAGAACAAGAAAAGTGCGGGAACCTGGAGTTGACCTCTGAAACTCCTATTTCATAATAGGTTTCAGAATTAGGTAAAAGTGAAGATAGTAGCTTTCGACAAGAAGTTTCAAGACTCAGCCAGCAACTTAACCATTAAGACATTTTCAAACGTTCTTAGGCCTAATGGATCGAGAGGGAAGTAACTGAACTACCTATTGAACAGAAATGGAGATTCATTTATTGTCACTTAACAAATTTACTCAATTCTTACTACAGAAGAGCTCAATGAAGTATTGTGTGAATTACTGTTCAAGAAGCTTTCAGCTTATACAGTATACACATACGTACCACTATTAAAATGTTAGGCTGTATTATTCAAAATAAATAGAAAAGGGACCCCCAGAAGTCCAAATCAGGGGGCGGGGACAGGGGAGAGAAGAGCACCTAAAAAGTAATTTTCAGAATGACTACTTAAAATGATTATCTAGTAAAACTGTCCTTCAAATGATCAAACCCCTATAATCTCCTCTCTCCTAATTAAGAACAGAAATAGGTTTTAAATTATAAGAAATCAATGTAATTTATCCTCTTTGGCTGAAACTGACGCCTGAAATTTACATTGGGAATAGGAGTGATGTTTATATTATGCAACTCTACTTCCACAGATAAGATGCCATTAAAGCAATGAATTCGGTCAGAATAAATGAGAAGAAACCCCAAACGATGGCAAAAATAGGTGAGAATCGATTGTCCATGTGTAATAATGAGCATAGTCCAAATCCATGAGTGTTGCCCTTCAGAATCCTGGAGGAAGGAGTTTACGGAAGAGTCCACTGACATCGAGTTGGAGAAGCAATAAAATGACCAGGCGTTCTGACCTGGCTTTTCCAGGCACCTTTAACGCAAGCCGTCCCCGTCATTTCAGTTCCACAGACAACCACCGAGCATAGGGCTGGGACGGCCAGGCTTAGGCTCAATGGGGGAAAGCTCTCCGTCCCGACCCGCCCGCCAGTCCGGGTCAACGCGAGGGCCCAAGAAGTCGCGACAAGGCGAGAAGGCAATTTCTCGGCCAAGTTCACCCTCTTCCGTCTCTGGCGCGGCCTAGCTCTTACACCAAGCCTCCGGCTCAGGTTTCGGACTCGCCGCTCCAGGTTACACACACGCGCTCCTTTGTATCTGACACTCCCACGCTCTCCGCCCGACCCTGAAGAGCGGCCTCAGGCTGCTCTTCGGACTTCAAGGGACCCGGACTGGAGGAGCAGGGGCGCCCACCGGCTCCCACACGCACTGCCCATTTTTGCTCTGCGCTGAGGGCACCATCAGCCCCTCGCGAAGGGTTCGGAAGGCGCGAGGCTAAGACAAAGCGACCTCCTATCGGCAGTCGCAGTGCCCCTTCCACCTGGATGGCAGCGGCGGAGGACCCAAAGACAAAGGAAAGCCGGGCCGCAGAGCCGGCAGCACACTTACCCATACAGCCACACACACACGGTTCTGTTTGCGGAAGCGGCGAGCCGCGCCACGCTTGTATAGCTACGCCACTTCCGGGGCGGGCGCTGGTCACGTGACACCGTTCTCGGCCGCGATTGGAGGTGACGCTCGACCTTCGCGCCGAAACTACAAGTCCCGTGGTGCTGCGCGCAGCGGCGTGCTTCGGAACGCACCGGCGGGTCGAGCAGTCGCGAGCACGTTGCTAGTGGGCGCGGCTGGTGGGGCTAAAGGGGTGGTGGGAGGCGGGTGTCCACCTGAGCACGGCGGGTCCCAGCATCCCGAGCCACGCTCGGCCGGATCACTCTGTGGAGTGACACCGCTGTGGCCTCGGAGGAGCTGTCGTCCGGCCTGTGCGGCGGCAAGCGGCGGCGACAGCGGCCTCAACGTCCGAAGAGGTAGCCTGGGCCCAAGACCTTTAAGGGCAGCGGGAGGGGTGAAGAGGGCACCTTCAACCCGCTGCGCACTGGGGAGCAGACCCGGGGCGCGAACCCGGCCCCTGACCGGTTCTTCGGGCTGTGGCCGGAGGTCCACCTGCGGTGACCCACACTTGCCCGCCCCACCACCCGCCGCGGCCGAAAGAGGTCACCCCCGCCCTTCTCTGTCGGTCCTGTGTCCTTGCAAACCTGCCTTTAGGACTGTCTTTAGCTTTCTGCTCTGTGACTCTGCACCCTCTCTGCTCGTCCCTTCTTCGGAAGTCTGCGGAGGAGGGGTCTGAGCGCCCCCGCTGTCGGAGTTGTCTTAAGGAATGAATGGTCCACATCTCACTTCTCCTTAGGGATTGGCAGATCGTCCCCGATCGCCGTATTTGGGAGGTGGCACCATACCTCCCTCCAGGGAGGCCTCTCTGGGCTGTGAGAATCTGGAGAAAGGGGCAGCCCAAACCTAGTCTAGAGAAAAGCCTCATAGTGGGGAAGTCTATGCCGTCCGGACTTGGATATGGGATGGTTGGGGGACACAGCACTTTCTTTGTTCACCCATCCCCTGCTTTGCACTGGAGAGTGGAAGGTGGCCACCTACTGTACTGGAACCAGAAAGCTCTCCAGTTGAAAGGCCTTCAGTTGAAGACTGGGGTCAAAACCGAACCCGCGGGCTAAGATGATTGGCGTGTGTACATATTAACTTTATTGTGCCTCAGCACCTCCCCATCTTAATGGTATATGAGTCAGAACGTGGTCACATTTGCAGTTCCGTATTGAATTATACTTTTACCAAAGTTAATCCCTTTAAAAGCAGCTTTGAAAGTGTGTTTGACTAGCCTGGCTACTCGTCAGTAAGGGCGATGATATTAATGAGTAGACCTGGCTTTGTGGAAGGCGACATTCACATGTACTTCCTTTAAAGCTCTGTTACTTCTAAAATGTGGGCATTGTAAACTTTGGACCAAGAATGAATGAGGCCTCTTTTTAACATAAATAATTTTAGGGGGAAATTTTTTTTAAGTAAAAGCTTCTTCCTCTGTGTTTATACAAACTCCACCATGGACGGATGTTGTGCATGAGCTCACGTTTTGTCGTTTTTATAAAGCTCAACTGGAAGTCAAGGAAATTCAGTTGAGAATAGAAGAACACCTGAGAGTAGAAATAATGGAGTAAATGGGCCACATAAAGATGTTTTGAAAGTTGCTGTTGTTGTTATTTTCCCCATTATTACATGTATAATATCTGTTCTTCTGGAAATTGAATTAAAAATAAAATAGGTAATATTTTAGTGCCTTCTGTGTGACAGCCAGATTAGGTGATTTACACATTTGAACTCATTGAATTTTTACATAATCCAGTGGGATAGTTATAGTTATTTTTGTGTTAAAGATGAAGGTTAAATAACTTGGCCAAGGTTGTGCATTTGGGAATTAGTGGAACTAGGATTTGGACCTACACGGTCCAGCTCCGAAGACCAGACTCCATGCTAATAATGAAACAGCACCTGCTTAGAATGCCAAACTCAGAACTAGAAATTGGCTGACAAATAGTTGATTTTCAGAAAATATTTTGATAATTTTTAATGCTTGCTGTTTAATGTTCAGAGAAAAAATAGTTGGATAAGATCCCCCAAGACAGGATCATCATTTTGTTCAGGGATTTAACCTGAATGTCTTTAATAGTGCCTGGCACATAGTGGTGCTTGCTAATTGAATGAATGAATTGCCAAGAAAGGTCTTTAAAAATCAACTTGTTATAAAAGTTCAGACGAATTATTTGAACCCATTTTAAGATTGCTTTATGTGCTGTTTTGATTATTTGGCCCACTATTAACCCACTCACACCACCTGGTTTAGATTTCTCCTGGTTTGACTTATATTTTATCAGTGAAAGAAATGAAGTAGCAACTTGTAAGTTTTCTGATTACAAGGCAAGCAACTGATTTAATAGTTACCAAGTTTTCTGAGTAAAGGCAAGTAACTGATTTAGTAGTTACAATTTTGCTTTTTAAGTCATTAGTTTTCAAAGTTAGAACATTCTGACTTGCAATTTTAAAGTGTAATTGCTGGTGTAGAGTAGAAGATCACATTTTTTTTTTTTTTTTAATCCACACCAGAGGATATTTTTTTCCATTGATTTTTAGAGAGAGAGGAAGGGTGGGGTGGAGAGAGTAAAAGAGAAGCCTTGATGTGGGAAAGACACATGGATTGGTTGCCTCCCGCACATGATTCAACCAGGCCCCAGATGAAACCTGTAACCGAGGTGCATGCCTTGACAGGGAAATCGAATCTACAGACTCTGACATCAGCACTCTGACACTCTGAAACCACTGAACAAAACCTACCTGAGCGAAGATAGCATTTTTGAAATATAAACACAGTTTTAAAATGTATAATAGGTACAATGTTGTAGCTTCCTAAGCATGATGTTCTTGGAGTTTGGAAAGAGAGGTGATTTATAGAAAGTTTGTTTCTTTACAAAGTCTTGGAGGAAGAAGGACTATCTGTCCAGTCCACTCACAAAGTGCCCCTACTAAAACTTTACTGCCTTTTGGGTCACATAAGATAGTCTTGTTTAAAAGGTTTAAAAGTTGAAAGTAAGATTGGTTGAGAAATCTCTTAAGTTTATTATGGGTAGAGATTCGTTTTATGTGTTAACTAGGTTATAGTACCTAGTTACTTAATCAAACACTAATCTAAGTGTTATTGTGATGGTATTTTGAAGATTGATTAACATCTAGTAAAGGAGATTGAGAGTAATCTCCTTTACCCGTCTTTAAGTAAAGGAGATTACCCTCAATAATGTGGGTGGATCTTTTCAAATCAATTAAAGGACTTAATTTCAAACTAAAGTGTCTCAAGAAGAAAAAATTCTTAAGATTTCAATATTGCCTGGCCAGCGTGGCTCTGTTGAGCGTCAGCCTAGGAACCAGAAGGTCACAGGTTCAATTCCTGGTCAGGGCACATACCTGAGAATGGGCTCAGTCCCCAGTAGGATGCATGCAGGCGGCAGCCGATAAATGATTCTTTCATCATTGATGTTTCTATCTCTCCTCCTTCCTTACTTTCTGACATAAATAAAAGTTTATTTAAAAATATATATATTGCAGCATCGATTTCTGCTTGTGTTCCTAGCCTTCAAATCTGCCTACACCTTTTCAGAGTTACTAGCCCTACAGGTGTGTGAGCTAGTTCCTTAAAATAAATCTGTATTTATCCATCTGGTAAATAATCTAATACATTTCTAATAGGTAGAAATATTTTTCTGAAGAGAGTTAGTTAGGTGTATGTGTATATTTTTTCCTGTGAGTGCTGTGTTTTTTGAGAACCCTATCTGTGTCAGATCTTGGTAACTACAGTAGCGTGATTCTAGAACAAGCAGGTCAAACTCAGATCCGAAGGCCACATGCGGCCCAGCCAGTAGAAGGATATGTAAGAAATGATTTAATAAAATGATTTAATAAAAATTTTGTAACTTAATTTTTACAATATCCTGTTATACATAATTATTAATAAGGAACCATAACGTTCGCTAAGGACTGATTACTATAATTGTATTGCATTCATTTGCCTTACACGCAGGCACACCATTTCTCTCCACCAATACTACCGTGTTTCCCCGAAAATAAGACATCCTCCGAAAATAAGACCTACTTACAGGTTTCCTTCTGAGTGAAATATAAGGCATCCCCCCGAAAATAAGGCCCCCCTAGGCTCTGTCTCAGAATGAAAATTAATATAAGACTGTCTTATTTTCGGGGAAACATGGTAGCAGCAGATATTTTAGCAGCCGATATCCACGTCATTGTCTTGGACTGACTTGTTTGATGTGCACAACAGGAAATATTTCGCTTTCAGAGAACAAGAAAAATAGGTTTATTTGCATTACACTTATTAATTTGTGCAGTTATTCAATGTCTGGTAAGTTAATGTTAAAAAAATATTAATTTTTATTAAAATGTTTTGTTATTTGTCCTAGCCGTTTGGCTCAGTGGACAATGTTGGCCTGCCCACTGAAGGTCCCGGGTTGCATTCTGGCCAAGGGCACATGCCCTGATTGTTGGTTCCATCCCCAGTAGGGGACATGCAGCCAATCAATGATGTTTCTCTCCCTCTCCCTTCCTTTATGAAATCAATAAAAATATATTTTGAAAAAAAAGTTCTATTATTTTATGTTAGTGATCATTCATTTATTTCAGTCCTTTGTATTCAGCATGTCTCTTTTAAAAATAAATCTATGTTTCTATGAATTGAAACTTTTGTTTTTTTCAGCTCACATAAACTTAAACCTTGTTTATTTGGCTCATGTTAGCCTTTGAGTTTGACATGCTTGTTCTAGATCAGTGGTTCTCAATCTTTCTAATGTCGCGACCCTTTAATACAGTTCCCCATGTTGTGGTGACCCCCAACCATAAAATTATTTTCATTGCTACTTCATTACTGTAATTTTGCTACCGTTAATGAATTGTAATGAAAATATCTGTGTTTTCTGATGGTCTTAGGCGACCCTGCTAGCGGGTCGCAAAATTACAGTTATGAAGTAGCAAAAGAAAGAAGTTAATGGATTCTTGGATGGGTGTGGATGTAGGTAACTCTGGAAGGGGAAAGGCTAAAGGTGAGAAAATTCACTCCTCATAACTTCGGTTCATTTTTAAAGGGAAGAGGGGGTTGGCTTTATTGAATTATTTATCAAATATTTATTGAGTGTCTCCTATGTGTCACCCAGCCTTTGTTTTGGGGTCCTGGGGTGCAGCAGTAAACTAAACAGGAAAAACAAAACAAAAACTGTCCTTGTGGGACCGTAAGTAGTAAACACAATAAGTAAGTAAATTATATAGGATGTTAGATGATTAGTGCTATGAAAAAAACAACAACACACAAATAGAGCAAGGTCAGGAAGATAGGGATGGATGTCAGGGCGGGAAGGAAGGGGATTGGGAGCAGTGTTGCCATTTTAAATAGAATGGACAAAGGAGACATGAGGGAGCTGGTGCCATTGAATAAAGACTGTGAGAAGCTAATTAGCCATGCTAACAGAAAAGACTTCCTAGCAGAGGAAATATCTAGTGCATAGTTCTTAAGGCAGGAGCCTTTTTAGCATGTTTGGCTTTCAGAATAAGTTAGTTTTGTAAAAATAATTAAGGACTTAATCTGTTTCTTTATGGCCTTTCTTATTTAATATTTATTTGAAGCACCCGTAGCTTTTCATGTTGGTTGTTAAATAGTCTGATTCTTCAGACTGTTACTTGACTTTGACTTTGCTTTTGTCTGTAGCAATTTCTAGTATCACCTTGTAAGACTTACTGGGAGCCTGCTAATTTTGAGACATTTACAATTTCATTTCGAAACTCATTTGCATTGTGTTGTTTGATGATCTGTGAGAGCCTGATAGGAGCTGACGTTAATCATTAATTAGGGAGGGGTAAGTCAAGGTTTATAGGGAACAATTCATTAGTGGATGATTTTATTGTATAATAGTCAGTTTGCACTGAGATAACAAATATTTGTGTAAAATGTGGTGGAGTAGCTGTGTTTATTGGAGTGCTGATTTATTGGGGTGCTAACTGAATCTACATATATATTGACTCTTGTTTAGTATACAATTTTAAAAAGTAAGATCATCTATTCTCAATGTATTCTCAGAAGTAATAAGTTAACAAGTATGGGATAGGGTGGAGATTAGGGGTTAGTGACACTTCCTGATGCCAACAGAGGGGAACTGATTTGCTATATAGTAATACATACTAAAATTCTGTCATACCAGTGGGGAAACCTGTATCTAGAAAGGCCACTAATTTTCTCAAAATAATACCACTATTAACTCTGTTGGGTACATTTTATTCCAATGCCTATGTTCTTTTAAAATTACATTTTAACTTTCCTGACAAAAAGTTATAGATATCTGGAAAAGTCCATCTCTCTTCTCACCAGCCAATAACATGTTATTTATAGTTTTATATAATTTAGTCTAAAGGCATTATAGGATAAATGATACTGATAACTACTCATCAGATCTTAACATTTGTAATAACTAACACTTATATGATGCTTGTTAATTTACAAAAGCATGTTTACATCAGAATTTTCATATAATTCCTATAATCTGCGAAGTAATCATTTTACTAGTGGATGTGGGCTTGTTATCTAATAGGGAATTGCATGGAATTATGTCCCCATAAACGTTAGGGCCCAGACCTTTTGCTTCCAGATCTTAAGACTTATTTCCATTATACTATACTGCTAATTTGTAGAATAATAAAGCTCTACAAATATCCATTTTGTAGTAATAAAATCACTTCAAAACATTACCCTCCATGATGTCTGTTAGACTCATTTACTCTATCATATTTAAATGGTGTATTTTAATGAGATTTTAAAATTGCATTGTTACAACTGTATACCATAAATAACATTTCGTGGATTTGGTAGCAATGTCTTTTCTTTTACTTCTTAATAATTAATGACTCATTTTTAAGTAGATTAGTTTAAAATGGGAATCTATATAATCTAATTTTTACATCTATTCTCTATAGAAGCTGAAGTCCATCCATCACCATTCTTCAAAATGCAATGGAATGTACCAAGGACTGTATTCCAACTGGCACATAGGACATGCATGGACCCACATAAAGCTGGTCTTTTTGGACACTGTCAATATATAAAGGGACCATTACTTTTGTATACAGCTGAATCCAGAGTAGTTTTGGTACAAGTCCCGCAAAAACAATGGCTGCATTTATCTGCTGCCCAGTGCACTGCAAAGAAAAGGAAGCCATTCGATGCTCCTTCACCCCAACTGGGGATTCTTCATTATAAACAGTGGGAGCAAGATACTTCCTCTAAGAGGGTTATGTCATCCAACACCACACCTCCAGGAATGCCTTCCGAAAAAAAAGAAGAACCTGATCCTTTACAAGACAAATCTATTAGCCTTTATCAACGATTTAAGAGAACTTTTAGACAGTATGGAAAAGTGTTGATTCCAGTGCATCTAGTAACTTCTAGTGTTTGGTTTGGAACATTTTATTATGCAGCCATAAAGTAAGTTTTTGCTTGGTTGAGCATCTTTCCCTGTTTTATCAAAATGTTTAATTTTTTTTTAATTATTGTTGGAAATATTATAGATGTCCCCTTCCCCCACCCCGACCCCCCCTTTAATCCCCTTCACTCATCCCTTCCCCACCCCGGCCTTCACCACACTGTTGTCTGTGTCCATGGGTATACATATATGCATATAAATTTTCTGGTTAATCTCTCCCCACCTACCCCCTTACCCTTGCCTTCCCTCTGAGATTCCTCAGTCTGTTAATCTTTAGTGTACTTAAATGCTTTAATGTCTTTAATTGATAGAAAATGACTACTTTTCATAACCTTGTCACACTTTAATAATCAACATTTGCTTACTGTGTACATCAGGCATTGCTAAATTTTTAACTGTATTATCTCATTTAATCCTCATAGCAATCATGAAGCAGGTAGTGCAATTATTCCCATCTTAATAACGAGAAACCAGATTTTAAGAATAAGCCAAAATAACTTAGTTTTTCCTAGAATAACAGAGAATCTGATGTCAAAGCTCATGCTCTTAGTCACTGTGTTCACCTCGTATCAACATTTAGGGTAGCACAGAGTTAAAATCATATTTCAGAAATTTAGCAGCACCAGAAATTTTGTACTTATATATTTCTTAAAGTTTTCATAAATGTAAAAAGACAGCTATTATCTTTCCATGTGGAAAATTCTAAAATATTTTTGCAAAATTCTGTCTAATAACTGTTATAGACACAAACTTGAGCAAATTGCAGACTTATGTTTTAACGTTACTCATATCTGACAAATGTCAACGTAATACCTTTTATTCTTATCAGAAGTTAATTTCATATACATTTAAAATTTTGTTAAGAGGATAGATCTCATGTTAAGTGTTCTTTCCTCAATAAAACAAACTTTTTCAAAAAACTTAATTTAGTAGGCCTAGGCTGCTAATATTATAAAACATAGAATTTCTAAATGTTCCTTTCTTGTTAAATACTGTTCCTTTTTTTTTTTTTTTTTTTTTTTTTTTTTTTTTAAGGTAAGTTCTATTATTTACACTGTTTTAGGAGCAAGAATACACATAGAAACAGCTTCCCAATAATTTCCAGTTTGTTTCTGCCTCAAGCAAACCAGTGGGTACCAACCTGTCCCTGTTCCTTTGAACAAGAGAAGTTCTGGTCTGGTCCTGACCAAGCCCAGTGAGCTCACTGTCCTGAAGGCAGTGATGACAGCACAATGGAGACCATTTTGACATTTTAGTAAACTCTTCTAATGGGATTAGAATTATTTTATACTTTCCAAAAGTCCATTGATTTTCAGTGTTTGGTTATATTTACTTACTTGATAATAGGGTATTAATAAAATATAGTTTTGTTTATGAAGCTCACTCCTTGGAGAAAGCTTATTATTTACTAAATTAAAGGATGATGGAATTAAAATTATACTTATTCTTGGGAAACGAGATTAGAGATATATATATATATTTTTTTTTTTAAATATATTTTATTGATTTTTTACAGAGAGGAGGAGAGAGGGATAGAGAGCTAGAAATGTCAATGAGAGAGAAACATCGACCAGCTGCCTCTTGCACACCCCCTACCGGGGATGTGCCCGCAACCAATGTACATGCCCTTGACCGGAATCGAACCTGGGACCTTTCAGTCTGCAGACCGACGCTCTACCACTGAGCCAAACCGGTTTCGGCTAGAGATATATTTTTATAAAAGTTATAAAAGCATTTTTTAACCTTGTGTAATTGATGCTTTTTTGTTTCCCTTCATAGCTTTCTCTCCATTGTGTTTTTGTTATTTAATTATATCTTTCTTTATTATGTATTATTTTCGTTAATGTTTTTGTTTTTTTCTTAGGAGGTCCTTGTATATACACTTTATGGAATTCTCTCTTTGCTTAATAATGACATTTTCTGGACATGGATAATTTTTATAGAAGTCTTTGAAACTGCCCTTATTTATTAGCAGAGAATAAAAGTGTTTTGCATAAAAGTTATAGGCATTCAGTTTTTATACTTAAATAATGGCTTTTTACGTCTTAAATTTTCTTTGTTGAGCCATTGTGGATTTTTCTGATTCAGCACTGTGCAAGATAACATGGGTAATACATGTTTCTTCTGACTCCCTTAATAAGCATTCAGTCTCCTTAGCATTAGAGGCAGACTTCTAAATTTCTAATTAATTGAATATGATAATCTCATTTGGACTGATTAAAAAGAGGACTTTTGTTTTCTTTACTTTTCCTTCTTGAGTTAAAGATTTCTATAACTAAACAATTGGACCCCAAATAACCTAGTGATAATAGTTATTGCTATCTGGCATCTGAGGCAGTTGTGACATTCTGCCAGCCCCTGTGGAATGCACCTCTCTTAGTTTTATCCTTTCCCCTCTTTTCTGCAGAATGTTTGTGTGTAAGCGTGGTGATAGGACTGTCTACTTTAAAATTCACTCCCCACTCCCCATCAGAACTTATCTGTTGACTTTTTGCCAGCATGTGAAATTTGTGTGCCAGACCACCACTATTGCCTACCTATGACTACTGGTCCAATTCTGTTACAGCTAAAAATTTGTATTTCGTATTTTACTGAATCTATAATACTGCAGGAGTTGAAATTTGATTTGTTCTATTATAGTAAGATCTTTTCGCGAGTAATACTTAAAAACATAAGGACTTAAGATATGTTCAAATGACAATTTACCTTTCATTGTGAGATGATTTTATTATAAAACTAGAGGCCCAGTGCATGGATTCGTGCATGGGTGGGGTCCCTCAGCCTGGCCCCAAATCAGGGCTGCAGGAGGTTGGCCCATCGAGGAGGTGGCTGAGGAAGTGCACTGACCACCAGAGGGCAGCTCCTGCATTGAGTGTCTTCCTCTGGTGCTCAATCTGTCATAGTGACCAGTCAACTGGTGGTTTGGTTGCTTAGGCATATATGTGTGTGTGTGTGTGTGTGTGTGTGTGTGTGTGTGTGTGTGTGTGTGTATGTGTATATATGTGTGTGTGTATATATATATATATATATATATATATATATATATATATATGTATAAATTGGAGTTGCTTGTATTAAATACAGGTGTTTTGTTTTTTAATTTAACTGACAAGAAGCTGGCTTTATTTTATTTTAGTTTTAGCTTGTTGCCTACTTACTATTAAAAGAAAGAAGAAAAAATAATTTGTAACTTGAAGGATGGGCATTAGAAGTCGCATTGCATTACTGGCCAATGTTTGTTTTAGTTACTCTGACAACCAGCATGCTGCCTTACTAGTCACCATAAAGCAAAATGCTGTTCTTTATTTAGATAACTCAGTGATCAAGATCTCAGGCTTTTGAAACATTTTATTTCAGGGATATCTAAATTGTGCATGGTAACGGGTTTTATTTTAAACTAAGCTTTGTTGTCCCTCCTATCTGGCAAAAACTTGCAGATACATTATGTCTCTAACCAGAAGACTTCTGTTTGGTCAAATGTAGCTCTGAGATGATGGTTTTGTTCCTGTGTTTAGATGCTTCATGTTTTGGCCTCAGGTTCCTAAAGCTACAGATTCACTCTGGGGAAAAATCCTGACTGATTTTTACTGCACTTTATTCAGGCTGTGAATGTGCCTTTGCCCTTGTGTGTTTCTGCATCACTAGAAACATCCATAAAGAAACATCTGCAGTTTGTGAAGCAGATGTTTTTGTCAGGCTGTGGGAAGTTCAGAGTAAAAATATTATTTGAATCAAACCTTCATTAATACTTCATACTTAGCAATTCCAAAGAGAATGAAAGGTTTGTTTGTTTTTTTTTTTTACTAAAGTCAAGTCATCAAATTGGTATTTTAGAAATACGTGAAATGAGATGTTTGTTTATTTTATAGAGGATACATATGCAAGGTGTCTGAGGTTATTATTATGGTGGTTTTTATTTTTTTTAATTACCCCATTGTGTGTTATATTTGGTCAAATATTTGTCTTTTTTCTTCATTATGATTTCTGTTAAATATGTAGATTTTACATTTTGTGCTTAGTCTGAACTAGAAAATGATTAATGGAGTAACTTTATAATTTTATTGGCACTGGGAGGTAATTAGCATGTTGTGGTAGGATGTTACTGTAAATAGTAACTATTAGATGCATAGAATAGTCTTTATGATACTAAGCCTTGCTTTAATAGGATTCTGTCTAAGAAAGCGGTTTTTAATAGAACTGGTGATAGAGATAGAAGAAACCAGATTGGATTTATAATTGACATATTCCTTAAACTCTTTAAAGATTACTTCACTTATCTGGTTTTCTTTTGTAGATGATAGGTAATTTTTCTTTTTTTTTCTTTTTTTTATTGTTTAAAGTATTACAGATAGTAGTACATATGTCTCCTTTTCTTTTTTCCCCCAATTTACTTTTCCCCAGCCTCCCATACCCACTCCTCACTCCCACCCACCCCCAGCACATGCCCTCTCCACACTCCCAGTGTCATTGGTTATGCTTATATGCATGCATACAAGTTCTTTGGTTGATCTCTTACCTCCCCGTAGGTAATTTTTCTGGATGATGTTCAGCCATATCTATTGAGTAATCCCTGGTTTCTTAGTATTATAATGAAATAGTGGAGAGGGACAACTTTTCCCCAGTTACCAAGTTATTTTTTAATATTAAAAATAAATTAAGATTTTGCAACTACCGTAATAATAATGAATCCGGGCAATTTTTTTCTGAATTACGAAGAGAAAGAATATGTGTATCATGGAACAACCTGTGGATCCTCCCTTAACCAAGAATCGAACTTAACATCGGTGATGGAACAAACTACCATTATGTGGCCCCTGTTGATGCACCGAAATCAACTGTGCAGTTTTCCTTTTGAAAAACATTTAACATGAATCTATTCATGAGGAAACAATCAGACAAATCCAAGTTAAGGGATAGTCTACCATGCAACTGGACTGAAAGCTTAAAAATCTCAGTGTCAAGCAAGACATGCTACCTTCCTCCTCCTCAGAAGGTCCTGGGAAGCATTTCTAGAGAAAACGAGAGCATTAAGGGACATGCTAGACCAATTCAGGAAATTTTATGTCAATATAGGAGAATCACAGAACAAGAGCCTTATTCTGATTTAGAGGTGAAGGGTCTCAATATCTGCAAATTTGTGCATGTGCCAATGTAATAAAATATTGATAATCAGAAAAACTACAAATAAATTAGGGTTTATCAGCTCAGATTAGAGACATTCTCTGCCTTCTCTCCCTCCCTCCAAAAATGTTTTGCAGTTTATGGTAATTTTCACCTGCCTATTCAGTTCACCTGCTAATAGCAGCACCCTTTTAGGATAATTGAAGTTTTCATCAAATAATTTATTCAAGTCATTAGAATAATTTATTCTTTGCATAGTAATACAGTAAGTAATGTTATATAACTTGCTTTTACAATAATATTATAGTTTGGCATGTAATACTAGAGGTAAAAAATCTTAGATCCTGAAGTTTGAGTTGAAGCATTCTAACTAATGAAGTGGTATTTAGTTGAGAAAACTAAGGTCAAGTAAGTGATTCTGACCCTTTTCTCCTAGGTTACATAACGTTATTAATTTTTCTCTGATAAATGCTTTTATTTTTTTGAATATGTTAAATGCAAAAGTGGCACACAGTAAGCTATAAAACAACACTGATGTTTGTGTACATATTGTTCGTTTAGAGTGACATTAAAGTGCTTGATAATATAGAACTGACTTTTAAACAAAACTTGGTTTTGGTGTTTTCAGATAATCTTTTGAAACTATTTATCCCTAAAATGTGTGTGTGTGTGTCTGTGTATATACATATAAATTACTTTCTGTTTCTTTCTTAGCGGAGTGAATGTCATTCCTTTTCTAGAGCTTATTGGGTTACCTGACAGCATAGTAAGCATTTTGAAAAATTCCCAGAGTGGAAATGCCCTAACAGCATATGCCTTGTTTAAGGTAGGTACTATTAGAAATTAATTATTCCTCACACTTAACCAATGACCTGCTCAGCTCCCCAGAAAATTCAATGTTAGTTCTTTTTTGTAATAGTTGTTTTTTAAAAAATATTGCATTTCATCTCTTACATATCCTATAAAGTTTAAAAATTTTAAGTATAAATAAAATGATGGTTTAGGAAGAGTGCGTTAAAAATTCATAACCTGCTGTGATCACTTGTGAAACTTCTGAATTTCTAGGGTACAAGTCATTTTTTTAACTTTTTTCCTATACATGGTATATTCATTTTTATTATTCAGAGATCTGCATGCCACCTGACTTGTAGGTGAAATTTAGCATTTATTTTACCGTTTATAAATAGTTCATCTTCTTAATGAGTAAAATATAAAGTTTAATGCAAGTTGTTTTATATGATAAACCTAATTAGACTTAGTTGTTAGATGTTGTGCATGTTTCATTTTAGAAGTTCATAGACTTTATAACTTTTCTGGATTTAGACAGTGACATCTTTATAAATATTTCTACACTTGTGGGTCTTTTTTTTTCTTTTTTTTTTTCAGAAGAGGAGACTCATTGTATTATTAAGCCATATTAATCTCATTTTTCTCTATTGACAAATAATTATGAGGTTCTTTGTAGCTTCATACTAAGAAAGGAAACAAAGCATTTGAAACTAGATGTTATTTTACTTTTATTATATAAAAATACTTAAAATTATGGTTTTATAATAGTACTCAAAACTAAAGTTGTTTTATTCTGTCATCTTTATTAGAATCCTCTGAAATCTTGAGAGATTTCCTTTTTTATTATAAATTTGACTAGCAAGCTAAACTTAATTGCTGAGTTTTGCAACATTAAAATTTAATTCATAAATTATCAAGTTTATAGCTTTTGTGGACATAATTTAACCTTAATAAATCAAGGGAGAGGGAGAGAGAGATAAAAGCACCAATGAGAGAATCATTGTTTGGCTGCCTCCTGCATGCCCCCTAATGGGGATCAAGCCTGCAACCAGCCCATGTGCCTTTGACCTGAATCAAAACCAGGACACTTAAATCTGCAGGCCCGTGCTCTATCCACTGAGCAAAACCAGCTAGGGCACTACTTTTATTTTTTAAAGTTTTCTTTATTTGATTATTAGTGCCCAGGAATTTAGAATCATGTCTTCTTTCTCTTTGTGTTTTCCGTGTGCTCTGTATTGTGCTTTGCAGGCAAATTGATGCTCAATGCATGTTTGTTGGGTTTAGATTGAGTTAGCAGTCTTTCTTCTCGTTCACTGTTCCTGTGCAAAGTGGGAAATGTGGAGGGGGTTCTCTTGAGTATTTACTGAATCCCACAGTCTTAAGTAGAGCAACAAACACAGAGATTTACTGCTTTGATAAGGCAAAGCCCCAAAGAGTTGTGGCATAGATGAGGAAAAAAATCCAAAAACCTGAGAGTATGACCTTGTGGCCTTGGCTAGGACACACACAACCCCCTTGTACTATCCTTCAAATGCACCATTGGTTGAGTTGCTTAAAACTTGTTGGGCCCCTACTGTGTGCCAAGTGCCAATCCCAGGTACTGGGGATACTGTAATGAAATGAAATGGCACAGAATACTGCTCTTGTGAAGCTTATATTCTAGTGGTGGGAGGCGGTTAGAGAGACAAGGAAGGGAACGTTAAAACAATAAATAAAACACAATATATTTAGATGGTAAGTGCTAAGAAAGAACAAACCAGTGAGGGGGTATATTTGTATTGTGGCTTGGTGTTTTCCAGAAGGAGGGTTACAAGACGGTGAGAGAGTTAAGCAGCTGTGGGGAGAAGAATGTTTCAAGCAGGGAAACCCACGTACAGGGTCCTGAGGCAGCAGGACACCTGGAGTACGTGAGGGAACAGGAGGAGCCAATGTAGCCAGAAAGAGTGAGCAGGGCCACAGGCAAGCGTGACCCCGCCAGGCTGCTGTGAGCACTCTGGATCAGATGGAAAGTCTGTGGGCAGTTTTGAGCTCTGACTTCTTTAACAACAAAATCACTTTAGCTGCTGTATTGGAAACATGGCAAGGGTAGAAGCCCGCAGGCCTGCCAGGAGGTTACTGCAGTGGTCTAGGCGAGAGCTGCTAGTGGCTAAGACCAAGGTGATAGCAGGAGAAGCCGTAAGAAATAGGTGGATTCTGGGTATATTTTGAAACTATCCCAACAGGTTTTGGGCCCAAGCAACTGAAGAATACAGTTGTCATTTCCTGAGGTATAGACAACTTTGAGAGGAGAGGTTTGGAGTGGGACCATAGAACATCAAGAGCCAGTTTTGAACAGATGACATTTTATCAATAGATACTATTAGACATCCAGGTGGAAACGAGTAGGTGGTTGTATATACGAGTAGGTGGATTTAGGGATAAGGCTGGGTCTGAAAATTTAAATTTAAGAATCATCGACACATAGATGGTAGTACAGACAAAACTGTGTAAGACTGCCAAGGGAATGAGGTGGGTGGAGAAAAAAAAGGGTCCAGGCACTGAATGCTGCCCCGCATGTTCAGAGGTAGGCTACAGGAGCGGGAATCCGCAAGGACCCCTGGGCAGGGGCAGCCTCTAAGATAGAAGGAAACCAGGGACTTGGGTACCTGGCTGCCAAGCGGAGGACCGGGCACCAAAAAGCTGTCTCAGGTGGTTCTCAGGGTTCATGGAACTCTGCGATGACAGCAGTTTTTGTGGAAAGGGTGGGGGCAAGGAAAGCTTGGTTAGACTAAGTTCAAGAGAAAATGAAGAAGAAAGTTGGAGATAGCACACGCAGCTCTTGCAAAAACCTTTGCTGTCTGGTACCCTACAGATAGGATTCTGAATTTTCATACAACAGCCTCCGAGTGTGATACAGACTCTCTACTTTTAAGATTTTCTTTGACCAGTTTGTCTATTATTTAGTTTTGGCTCTTATGTTCCTGATCAGAGTTAAACCTGTGCATGTCTGCAACACATGTACCATTTTACCACTTGGTCTCAGGGAGGTTCTGGTTGGGATTCCAAACCCAGGGCAGACTGTAATGAGGAAGGAGTATAAGGCCTGGACAAGTCAAAGGAAAGAGATTTGGAAACAAAGCTAAATTCAGTCAAGAAGAAACATTTGGCCCACACTTGCCTCTCAATCTAAAGTAGTTTGGTTCTAGCTGAGACCGGTTTGGCTCAATGGATAGAGCGTTGGCTTGGAGGCTGAAAGGTCCCAGGTTCGATTCCGGTCAAGGGCATGTACCTTGGTTGCGGGTATATCCCCAGTGGGGTTGGGGAGTGTGCAAGAGGCAGCTGATCGATGACTCTCTCTCATCGATGTTTCTGACTTTCTATCTCTCTTCCTTCCTCTCTGTACAAAATCAATAAAATATATTTTTAATAAATAAACAAACAAACAAACAAATAAATAAATAAAGTAGTTTGGTTCTAGTTTAGTTCCAGATATTGTCTGTGGGTGGGCAGGTTTTAAGCAAGAGAGGCCTACCTTTGTTGTTGGTAGTAGTCCTGAGCCCCCCCTGATTTCCCAGCGAATCGCCCCTCCAAACCCTTGCCCAGGTTCACTGGCACATGGTCACAGACTTTGCTGCCACAATGAACATTCTATAATCCTGGGTCAGTGTCTGAGTAACAGATATTTATAAAGTGAGTTTACAGAGGAAGCCCCACTTGTCAGGAGGGAGAACCATAGAGAATACAACTTCATTAGCATTGTAAAGCAATAAGGTTGTTTCTGCCTGTGACCATAGTCATAATCAGATACCGATCTGCCTATTTGCTCTTTCCCTTCAGATTGCAACACCTGCCCGGTACACCGTGACTTTGGGGGGAACCTCCTTCACCGTGAAGTATCTGCGGAGTCGAGGCTACATGTCAACACCGCCTCCCGTGAAGGAGTATCTGCAGGATAAGATGGAAGAGACGAAGGAGCTTCTCACAGAGAAAATGGGAGAAACGAAGGATAAACTCACTGAAAAACTACAAGAAACCAAAGAAAAGGTTTCTTTCAAAAAAAAAGTGGAATAGGGTGTCTCGTATAAGAGGTTATAAACGATCCTGCACTTTAACCCTCTGGAGACAAGGGACAGAGATTCATGCTCCTGAGTGTACTTTTTGGTTGGCTGCCTACCTATGCCAGTTCTCTGAGGGTTAAAGAGGTAAGATAACCTTTTTAACATTAAGTGTCACTAGAAAAATCAGTGTTTTTTTGAAAAGAAAAAAATGAACCCAGTGTAAGAATTTCACATCTAAAGCACATTAAGCAGTGTTAATGTCTGATTCAGACACTTTTTTTTCAAGGTCCTCAGAAGCATGCTTGCTTATGGTTTGTTGCAGTATACTTTAGGCAGATGAGGCAGTTGACTTCTTGAATAACTGATGTGGCCCTGGACAGGAAGTTAATGCTCGTCTTCATCTTTATGTTATACATTGAGGTTTTAACTGTATTCAGTTCTCATTCTCAGTATGGAGACAAACTTTTATCATCAAAACTGCCTATGAATAAGAGAATAGAGTTTCTATTTTTAAAAAAAGTGCTTAAACAGTTATATACCAGTTAAAATAATATCCTTTGTATAAAGAAAATTGAATAAAAATTGAGTCATTCATGTAAATAAGATGTATTGGTTATATGTAAATGCAAAAAATTGACCATTTAAAAATGGTCAGGTTTTTTACCTGAAACTTGTCATAATCAAATTTTTAAAGTAAAAATATATGGCCATTGTATCTTTTCACCTAGAACATAAAACTATGAATTGTTTGTGTCCTTTTCAACTAAATTTTCAGAGGAAAAGTGAAAGTAATTATTCTGTAAGTTCATTGTTGAAATCAGATGATCTTAAGCAGCGATTCAAGTTTGTGGTTCTCAAGAAAATACCGCTTTGGAAGAATGGATTGTCACAGACCAGACCCACTTTCCCGCCACTAGCATGTCTTGTCTCCATAAGCCAGCGCTCTCTCCCGGTGTCTTCCCCTAATATCTTCTCCCAGTTAATGGTAATCTCATTATGGAATAAATTCCAAAATTGTAGCTGCTGCTTTTTCCCTGATATTGAATCCTTGCTTGAGCATTTCACTTGAAATTTTTTTATACTAAAACTATCATTAAATTATCTGCTTAAAATGAAATTCAACCATTGTCAGATATGAAAGTTGTCATGATTGTGTGGTGTGTTTCAGGTGTGTCTGTATCTGTTTAAACTGCTTTCTACTTCATTTCTCTCCCTTGAATTGATATTTGGAAGAGGGAATGGCGTCTGCCTAAGATTGTCTGTTTAGATTATCAGAGGGACCAGTAGACAGAATCCTGCAAAAATCACTGCTATGTGGCAGGTTTTTATATGTAATATTTAGTTTGGCCAAATTTAGAAAATACTTTAAAGGAAAAGGATTGTTTACATTTGATACATTTAATCATTTTATTGGAACACCTCATAAATGAATATGCTGAGGTTGGAACTTCTTTTGTGGGTTGCAGCAGAGTAGTGAGGGGAGGGCCAGGAGCCGTTGGTGTGCCTGGTGCCGTGATGCTCAGGAGAATGGTTAATCCTCTTATGCAGAGTGGAACTTACGATTTCAAATTGACAGCACATTTTCAAATCTAAATATAATTGACAGTTTTAGCCTGTTTGTTAAATAATTCACATATTTTCAGATATTAAATGCTATGATATTAGGGCTTTTTCTTAATTTTTAAACACTTGAGACTTTGCCTTGTGTTTTAATATCTTGCATTATATAGAACTCTTCTAAAACAATTTCCTTTCACTTTGCACTGGACATATTTTCCAATGGGGATACATTGTGGGTTCTTAGAAGATAATAATAATCCTGAGACTAAAACTTGATTTTCTTGAGTATCCCCCTTTTTGTTCAGTCCATTTGTTTTGCTGCCATCCAGTTTCATAATTATGTTGCATTTATTCAGTTAGAGAAAGTGAGATGCTGATGGGTGCTTTGAAATTTTCTAGTAAAAAAATTCTCTGAATTCCTCACCAGTTTCTGCTGGCTAAAATCCAACCACCCAGACTTCAAAAGAAGATATATATTCTTTGAATGTGAAAGGTAAAACGTTGAGGTATATATACTTTTTAACTGTATTAGAGAGATTTGAACCAGTTTCAAAGTGAGGTTTTTATTTATTGAATATACATCAGAACCAGTGTCCCTGTATCACTAAGTACCAATGTGGTCTGCTTAGTTAAAACCAGATCTTGCATCCCTTAATTTTTTATGAGGGTTGTTATTTTTGTAGTTATTATTTAGAGTTTCTAATGTTTTCTTTTTCTATGCAACTCTCCACACTAAACAACATTCTGGAGAGGCCATGACGAAACTCTACCAGTAGTGAGGTGTAGCAGGAATCTCCTGGCAGTGTGCTCGGGCTGTGGCTCGCAATGATCACTATTGATTTAAAGCTTTATTTAGCCTTCATCTGTACCCTCATAATCAATAATGTCTTGCCACATCTTTTAGTGAAGTGGAGAAATGTTTGTTCTGCTGCCCTTTCCCCCAATATTAAACTGAAATTTGTCATTTGTTTAAACTGAGTGAATCATAGCTTAGTTCACATGTCCAGCTATTTTGTTTCTTATACAAAATAAGATTGTTTGATTCTCCCCTTGGCTTTTACTACACACACACACACACACGTATACTTTTTTTTTTCCTGAGAAGTTTTTTGATGCACAAGTTTTTCTCTTTGATTTGTGGACACAATGCTGAGGTTCAATAACTAAAGGAAATACTGGCCATGAAAACAAAACAAAAAATCCAAAGGGCTGTTTTTCCAAGTGTCCCCACCCCTACCCTCCGGGAAGCTACATGACAGTGCGATGCCAGTTTCAGAAAGATTCATCTTACCTTCAACCCTCTGTTCGTCTCCTTCGTCTCCTCTCTTTTCTTCAAGAAGGAAATTGATCCTAGTGATTTCAGCCCATGCATTAAACAGGAAAAATAATACATGTATAGAGTTCATATTTTTCTAAAGGGAACTTAAAAACTACTTCTACATGTTTGTACAAAACTGGTTTATACCACATGAACAGAATCACAAGATTAGCTATGGTACTTTGTTCCTCTGTATTCTCTTGTATAGAACTTCCAAATTCAAAATGAGAAAGAAAAGCTGTTCTATAGCAAACCATCTAAGCAATAAATATATTTTTAAACACCCCCCAAAATTCTGTGAAGATAGAAGTTCTTTTAATATTTGGCATCAGACATATTTATATCGTGTCAAATGCTATTGCTACATATTGCTAACCTGGTATTTACGGTAAACTACAAGTAGCTTAAAAGAGGACACCTCTAATATGTTGTATGAAGTTAAATTGTTAAGTTATATAGAGAATAAGTATATATGGTTTGCAATATATATCATAAACCCTATTTCACTTATAATAAACCTTACCCCTTGGATTAATTGGCCCATAAATTCTGGGAGCTCCAAGGCAGAGAGGCTCCCCATCTAATCTGCATGTCTCGGTTTAAGTAGGGTGTGTTGACAAAGTCAAGAGGCTATGACTGAGATTTAACTTTATATACATAAGTGGATGAAAAGGGTTTGCTCAGCAAATTAACAATTGAAATGAAAAAGATTAGCTAAGAGATGTGGTTTATTCAAGGATAATAGCAACGCCAAACTTTTAAAGGTACCAAAAAAATGCCTTTTACTGAAATCTTTTGCGTACAAGTGCTATTTTCAGACCTCAAGAAAGGAGAAAAGGAATGCAAACACTGAGATTACTTCCTCCCAGTAGTGACAATAATATGCCTTCAAATGTAGTCTTCAATTTATTTTTTTTTTACAAAATCGCCATTTATTTACAAATGAAAAATATTACTATTAGTAGAGTCCCGTGTGTTCCAGGATAAAATGAGGTATTGGCTGACTTATTTCAGTGATCTTAGAAGACAATTCCTGGAATTTAAAAGATCTTAATAGTTTGGGCAGAAGAAGTGGTTAAAAAAAAGCAAGTTGCATATTAGGCCCATGTCGCTTTTTCCTGTGTTCTTTCCACAGGATTGGGCCATCTTCAGACAGTGTACATGGGCCACTATAGAATGTGGTGATGCTAATAAAATGGACAGGAGGGGATTTTGGCAAATAAGGCAGAATACTATGTGTGCACCTTTCATAGCATTTTAAAATAACTTTTTTTTTTTTTTACAAAATATATATGAGAGATACACATTTCTGAATTATTAAAGGATTCTTTCTGAAAAATACTTGTTTTAATGGTAATGTAGACATATCTTCTATTGGCTACAGTTCATATTTTTTGAGAATGGGACCTTCATTTAATTAAGATTTTCAAAATTGTGTCTCCACATGGCCTAAAATAAACTAAATGTTACCAAAGTTGGAAGTATTTTTCAGTACTAAAAGCTTACTACTTAACTTTATCTGTGTCATGGTCAACAATGCATCGGATTATATTGGCTTATGTCCCCAGGTACCATAGGAGGGTTCATGTAGAAAAGTGTGGGACTCCACCACCTTTGAATTTAACTTCCTGAACCAGAAAGCTATAGAACCAGAGGTAGGTACTTATAACTATTCATTCTGCAGTATGAACTTGGTTCAGTTTCTGTTGGTCCATCTGTATGTTATGTAGTAACAAGTTAGTGTTAAATGGGATCCCAAAAGATTCTGCATTATGCAGCTGAACAGACTCAAGACTTCATTCTTCTTTCCTTAGAGATTTGAATGGGCTAGGGCAGTGGTCCCCATCCAGTGGTCTGTGGACCACTGCTGATCCGTGAGGTCCAAAAGGTTGGCTACCTCTGGTTTAAGGAAACCTTTGAGCAGCAGTTGCTAACCAGGGATCCTCAGACCACTGATGGTTTGTGAGGTCCGAAAAGCTGGTGACCACCGCTCTAGAACACTTACTCCTTCCCAGAATTCATCATCAGCCATACATTTTGCCCTGGCCCTCCGATGCTTGGAAGATCTTTCTCCTGCACATGGAGCTTGTAGGTTATATTTGAGAAGTGCTAAATCAGGCCAATTGGATATATTTTTCCCTCTGGGAGATTTTCCCTTTGTGACTTCTGTGTCAAATTGGCTTATTATAACTAGACAAAACAAGTTTTTGATTGTCTTGCTTCTTCAGGGTTAGGCTTTGAAAATCAAGCTGTATTCTTCCCTATGCATCATTGACAGTCACCAGCAATAATAATTACAGACCATGATTATCTTGTGACAGTTGTCTGCCTATTTTTATAAAAAACAGTTTTAGTACAAAGAATGCATCTTGATTTCAGAATCCTTCAGGGCAGAGTAGAACGGAAGCCTCTTTATTCTGGATGCTTGAGTGGGACAGTTGTCATGGGGAGGCACACGGGCCGCTCAAGTCAACCTCAGACTACGTAGTTGCTCTTTACAGAGAAGAGTGCTTGCCACCAATGCCAGCGTCGTCGTTGTGTTTTCTCTGGGACCACATGGTCCATAAGAGCAGAAGTCTGGGATGGTCAAGAGATGTTTCATATGCTGCCAAAATCAAAGTATATCTTTTTTTAAAAAAACATATTCTTACTGATTTCAGAGAGGGAGAGAGTAACATCGATAATGAGAGATGATCATTGATCCTGCACACACCCCTAATGGGGATCGAGCCCGTAACCCAGGCATGTGCCCTTGACTGGAATCCAACTCAGGACCTTTCAGTCCACAGGCCAATGCTCTATCCACTGAGCCAAATGAGCTAGGGCTCAAAATGTATCTTCGTTCTGTGTAAAAGTGAGGATTGCATAGAACCTTTTTCCTCCCTCTGTACAACTTTCTGTTTTGAATTTTGACCAATTTAAATGTTAAAAAATTCTATTTGAAGTGAGACAGAAGAAGGTAAGTTTGCACATGCGCATGCCTGATGGGTGGCACGCCAGTTCTTTCTCACCGCCTCTCATGGATAGATCACGCACCCCATTCTTGGTAAGAGTGGGACCGTAAACCTGCAGTTGTTCCCTGACTTTTTAGTTAAGTACGAGTGAAAGTTTGCTTTTTGTTATGATAATTACGTATCATAACATGACATGGAACAATGTTGGTTCTTTATCTTTCCTTATACCAATTAGAC